TTTAAGATAACTCGGGCGATTCTGAAACTAGTATGTTTATTATGGTTACAATTAGTACTCCGTAAAGCTTTCGCTTTTCGGTCCGAGATACGAGACCTCGTTTCAAAATTGAAATATGAATATTTCATTGTGTGTGAGATTGAAAAATCTGCTTTCGCTGATCTTTCATTTTCTTAAAACAACGCAATGAAGCGAATGTTCAAATTCGCACAATTTGAATAAAATGTGCAGAGTATATAGAATACTAACGCAAGCGTTTACTACAATCGACTTTGAAACACTAGACTTTCATCTAGCGCCCAAAGAATTGATTGAGCTATGCGTTTAAAGTATAATTCCTTAGACATATGCACATCAAATTATCAGATATTTTATAGAGTTTTAACAATGAGTATAAATTTTGTTTATATTTCTATGGGTTCCGTACCACGCGGCGCTTACGCGTTTTGACAATTCGTCTCTATGCAGTTCAAGCAGTACAATTGCTTTGAAAAAACGTTCAAAATTTCCAAAATATGTCAAATAAAGAACTTTTTTTTTCAAAAAAAGTAATTTTTTATCAAATATATAGTTTCTCAAAACTCTAATTTTTTCGAAGTAAAATTTTTTCAAAATGTTAATCGTTTTTAAAAAAATAATAATTTTTGATACGGGAAGTTCCAGCAATTTGCCTTAAGGCACGATGCCATGCGCCCCACTAGTTTTAACTGCACACTTGAAAGATAATTATTTCGTATCTAACCATAGATAAAAGAAGAGTATCTAACCATTTGCCCTATCATAATCTCAAAAAAAGATGTTAAACGCATAAATGTCAAAATAGCAAATGTCAAATCTGTTCATAGTACAACTTCTCGCCAATGTTATAGATAAGTGCGTCTGACTACGTTTATTTTCAGAGGGTTAGCGTAACATAGATAAAAGAGAGTATATAGATCGCTCTCTCGGGGCATATTTCGTTGCCACGTTAACTGTCAACTTGCCGGGGTTAGTTCGAGCTGCTCTCCCTTGGTGCGCACGCGTCGACCGTAGAACGGGTGCGTACAAAAAATACTATAGAAATGCACCAATATTATAGACCGTTTGAATTCAAAATTAAAAAAAAAGAAATTGAATTTTAAAAAGCATTTATTTTTAACAATAGTATTTTACACACATGGCTACAAAGATTCATCCTTATAAGCTAAATACAAAAGAAATAGAAATGTATATATATATATATATATATATATATATATTATATATATATATTTATAGGTATATTTATTTATATTTCTAGAGCAACGATTACTTATAATTACAATTAGATTAAGATAAATAATTTAAACACATCTCATAATTCGATCTCAATAATAAATAAATAAAAAAATTGGAAAACTATCGGATCACTTTCATTATTCGCAAAAATTTGAGAAGCAATCAAATATCTTTCATTATTCGCAAAAGCAAAAAATTCCTAGAAACTAAAGAGAGAAAAATAATTATATTTATAAAGAGTCAAATATATATATATTTAAAAATTATTTGCAAAATTAATGCATACAATAATCCTCTCAAGTAACTCAGTTTATATTTATTTCGAATAATGCGAATTAACAATTAAGTTACTGTTTTGTTTCTGTTAATATTTTCTACGACTAGTGTTGATGATGTTCATTTGAATGTTGAACAAAATGTCATTATCATCATTAACATAAAAAAGGAAATTATTAATAGTAATGTACAAGTACTTAATAGTTTTCTTATGGCTTCTTCAATAACACATTTAAGAATAACATCTCTATCAGAAATACGGGGTGCTCATTAAAGGTGTTTTATTCCTCTAAATAAAAAAGAGATTAGCAAATATATACTTTCTTCCATTTGACAGTGCCTGTCAATCTGTACAATGTAATTATTTTTACAATCATTAAACAACGCAGATAATAATATTTCTGTGTAATATCAAAATGCAACTATCACTACTCACAAACTTTTCGTGGAACATAGCCAAACCTAAATTACCCCTTAGCTAGAATTTTATCATTAAGCATGAATTTCCTTCCATTTAATAATTCAGTATCTTCTCTTAGCCGACTTAATATATCATTATGAATACTATTATTCAATGCCAGTGGGAGATCAGCAAATATTTCAGCATGTTTCAGACTGGCTTGTAATTTCTTTATTAATGTTTTTCCCTGTTTATTCGTCTCATATCAATACTTGTGTTTAGTAAACCCACTTCCGAGAGAAAAACTGCTGAAAAAAATCAATGTTAAATTATTTATTATAAACCTTTATTATTAGTACAAGAATAATTCTTAAAACCTTACCTATCAGTGAGTTGGTTAGTCTGACGGCAATTTTATCTTTCAATAACTATAACCTTAAAATTCCTAGCATTGTTAAATGTCTCAGTTATTATGCTATAATAAAAACTTATATCAGACTAGTAGTAATAGATGCAAGTATTTTGAAGTATGCATATTGATAAATATACTTACTTATTGTTGAAGGCCCGTAAATTATATTAATCATTTTACATACTACATAGGTTCTAGTAGAAAACACTAGTTTTGACAAGCCAAATAGCAAACATCTACAACATCCAAAACAATATTTATTTGTGATTAATGTTTGGTTATTTTATTCTTATTACGTACTTTATCATTTCTCGCTGGAAATACATGCAATTTTGCATTTTTTTTGGTATTAGTGCACCCTGGAACGTAACACTTCGACCACGACTATTTGTTTGCAAACTAATCCTAATCACTTATAAACGCAACTGAACGTTCTCGAAATCGTTTGATTGCCCGCGTTGAAATTCTTACCAGATGAGTGCTAAATCGCTGCAAGAGCGCTCCAAGGGAGAGCAGCTCTAACTAAAATCGAGCTACAGAGTTTTGTTCGGAGATTACCGGCCATGTAGCGTAACATTAATGTTATGATATGATAAAACACATACCGCCGAGAATAAGTGTTACACTTATAATGACATTTTAAACGAAATAAGTGTGAACTTGCCGTAAAATTGAAACCGAGAATCGGCTCAATAATGTTGAATATAATAATATCACCTATATAAAACTATAAATATGATAAAAACATACTTGAAAATTATCGTGATTA